CGACCTGCTGCCGACGATGGTTGTGACCTGCGCGTCGCTCGCGTGCAGCAGGACCTCCCGCACTCCTCCGCCGCCGCCGCTGCCGCTGCCTCGCTGGGCTGCTGCCGCCGTGGTCGTCTCCATCAACCGGGATGTTCTCACCCCGGAGTGTTTCCTCCTCCTCCTCCTCCCGTCGCACGCCTCCGCCGGCGACGCCTGCTGACACGCCCAACTTCTCTTGTGGAGGTGGTGGCGGCGGCTGCTCTTGTTGTAACCCATTGCCCCGATTCCCAGTCCTGCCTGCTCCCCGTGAACTAGCCGGTCTCCCCGTCTCGCCCCCGCCTCCTACCCCCCACGCGGCGACCCCGCTTCTTGGACTACTACTAACGGCACCGGCGATCGCTCTCGACCCCGCCACCCTTACGGACGGCGTAAAACCACGCACGTCAGGCGCGACTTGCGTGTCCCCCGGTGCCGGAGTCTTCATGGCGCTGTTCCCGCTCTTTCCTTCCCTCTCCTCCACACCGTAGGCCTCGTCCACGACCTCCCGGGAACCTCGGAAGCTCGACGACGCTTCGGCCGAGAGCGTCCACGACGAAGAGGACACGCGCTCCGACGGCGCGGGGTAGGAGAAGCAGCCCGCCGCCCTCCGAAAGCTCAAGGCAGTCGCCGCGAACTCGTTTCTGCCGCCGCCGCCGCCATCTGGACCAGCCGCAGCGTGAGGGGTGGCGTCCCCGCCACAACCCGACCCCGCTGATCCCGCGGAAGACCCGCCCGAAGGAAAAGGTGTTCGGTCCAACCTACACCCCCCTTCACCGCCGCCGCCGCCACCGCTGGAGTGTTCCCTGCCTCTCCGAGAAGAGGGAGCCATGCCGGCCGATGACGGAGTCGCCGTGGTCTCCGTCCCTACCGACCCCGGCGTCCTCACAAAATATCCTACGCCTTGCTCGCCACCACCTCCACCACCACCCCCGCCCTTCGACCTGTGCTTTCTCTCCGGCGGCACCGACGACGACACCGCCATCATTGGCGCCCCCGAAGCCGACTCAGGTCCCCACCCACCACCACCACCACCACCACTGCCCGCGGCGCTGCAAGAGCTGCTTCCCTCCGTGTCCTCCTCGAAGCTGCTCCCGTACTGCTCTCCCACGGAGGACGACACCTCCGACGCCACCGAGACCGCCACCGACAACATCGTCGGCGACTTTCTCCCCCCGGCCGCCGCTCCTCGTTCTCTAGTTGCTGCTGCCCCCCTCCCTCCTCCTCCTCCTCCACCTCCTCCTCCGCCCCCCCGCCGCACGGGGGGGATTCTCCCTCGCAGGCGGAGGCCGTTCAGCGCCTCCACCGCTGCCGCTCTCTTCGCGGCGGCGGCGTCAGCGGCGTCGGCGGCGCTATTGCTGACACCACCTCCGTTGGCATCGTACCCGACGGCACCGTTCTCTCTCCTCCTCCTCCTCCTCCCTCTCGAGATCCCTCCGGGAGAAGAAACATCGGCGCCCTCTGAGATAACCGCTCCTCCTCCTCCTCCTCCTCCTCCTGTTGTTGTTGTTGTTGTTGCCGTCTCGCCGCAGCCTCGAGAGAGGACGAGTCCGTCGTGGCACGGTGCTCTTCGCCGCACCGCCACCGCCGCCGCCGCCGCCGATTGTTGCTCCTCCAGTCGAGCCTGGCTCGTGCTCGCGGTTGCCGCTACCGCCGTCGACGGAGGCAATGACGCTCCCCGCCGTCCCCCCTCTCCCGCCGTTACCCCTTGCGATACCACTGGAGCCCGAACCAACACGGGGTTGTCACCATTGGCGCGCTTGTCTAGGCGGCAACCGTCACGGCCATGCTGTCCCGCCGTCAGGGGAGGCTCTCGATCCCGCGGCGAACGGCGTTGGTTCGCCGATCTCCACCGTTCGGTCGCGGTTGTTCTTGGTATCGGTCTAGTCGACGGTGGCACGCTGCCGCCCAGCCCAAGCTCCGGCCCTTCTCCTGGTTCTTTTTCTCGGCCCGTGTGGTGGCGGGCGGAGTCGGCTCTCACCCCGCCCACGTCAAGAGTACCCCGCACCTTCGCCGGGACTTCTCGGCCTCCTTCACGTTCATGTCGCCACTGATCGCTGTCTTCCTCCCCTTCTCTTGTACGACCCTCTTCGTCCCCGTCGCAGGAGTTTTCTTCCGCATCGGTCACCACCTCCGCCGGCAGCTCATCCGTCGACAGGGCCGACACGTTTTTCCACTCCCCCGTCACCCCCCTCGTCTCCCTCCTCCTCATGCTGGTGCTGTCGATCGTGCTGACGCTGGCCAGCCCTTCGGCGGAGAAAGAGCAGCAAGAAGAAGAACGAGACAACGATGACGACGACGACGATGACAGAGAAGCGTCATCCGCGATCACCTCTACGATCCCGCTATCCCCAAACGCCCGGTCGAAATCGCCACGCCCTCCTCCTCCTTCCGCAGCCCCCTCCGCCCCTTCCCTTCCCTTCTGTCGCTCTTGCGGTCGTGCTTCGCCTGCCGCCTGGTCACGCACCTCTTCCCGTCCGGCCACAGCGGCAGCAGCAGCAGCGCGGCCGCAGGAATCTTCGGCCACCTCTGCGACAACAGCCGCACTCGACGAACCCACGGCAGCACCCGAGCACGGACCGAGGTCACGATCGAAGCGGGGCTGCGGAGGCATCTCCAGGGCCGATGGGGTCTGGCAGCTGCCCCAGAACGGGTGCGCCAGGAGCTGCGGCCACGTGGGCCTCCCGCGTGGGTCCTTGTCCAGGAGGCGACTCACGAGGTCACGGAACGGTGCGCTCATTCGGGCCCCCTGCCACTCCCCCTTGTCCAGCCCCGGCGGGTGCTATTTTGGGTTGTAGGCAGTAGCGGCCGGCCGCGGAAGGGGGAAAGAGAAGGTCGTTCACGGGATCGGTAGTATCGTGGTGGGGAGGAAGTGTCGGGTGAGCCAAGCGGTGGAGAGTGTAGAATGGTGTGTGAAGCTGGGGCGACAGGAGCGAGAGAGGCAGAGAGGCGAGCCTACTGATGAGCCGTAAGGGTAGGAGGGCAAGTTTACGCACAAGAAAACGGCCAAGGGATGGGGCTACGGGAGGTATCTTCGACTGCCAGTCTGTGTACGTGGCCGATGCCTTCTTGTCGACCGGTTTTGTAAATCGAGCTGTGCGCTTACAGCCCTCTCTCGCGCCGGGTGTCGATCGACGACCTACAAAGCTACCCACTCCCTGTACTCTCAGTCAGTCCACGAGCCCATCAGCCCGTCAGAATCTGCCGTCTGATCGAAGAGACCCGCTTGTCCGTCAATCGGCACGCGATATTTCCACTCTCTTCTTCCTCATTGGGTTGCCCGTTTTTGTAAGCCTCCATCAACGTTTGGCACCACCTCTCATACCTCCCGGTGATCTCCAACTACGCCCACAAAGTGGAAAATAAACTTTTCCTTTTACGTTCGTACCCGTCTCCCTCTCTCACCTCGCGCGCGATCGTCTCCGCGACGGTGGCGGACGCAGAAGAGCGGAAAGGGGGCTCGCCGGTGAGGAGCTCGTACAGCACGCACCCGAGCGACCAGAAGTCGCTGGCGAAGCTCATCGCCTGCTCGCCGACGGAAAAAAGCTCGGGCGCCATATAGGCCGGGTCCCTGCCTTCCGCCACGACCGCCGCCGCCGCGTCTTTCGCAGAAGCCCCACCCTGCTGCTGCTGCTTCTTCCGGTGCTGCTGTTTCTCCTGGTGCTGGTGTTGTGAGTAGCCCTCCCCACCGACCTTACTACCGCTTCTACTGCTGTCGCCGCCGACGCCCCCGCCCCCGTCCAAGCTCGCTTCGCCCTCCCCCTTCTCCTCGTCCTCCCGCGAGACGCCGCGCGCGAGGCCGAAGCCGCTGAGCTTGAGGATGCCATACTCGTCGATGAGCACGTTCGAGGGCCGGAGGTCCCCGTGCAGGTACCCGCACGCGTGGGTCTGCTGCAGGCCGGCGAGGAGGTCCACCCCGAACAGCCGGACCGCCGACTCGGGCTCTTGGTGGTCCTGACAAAAAAAAAAAAAACGAGCAGAAGAAGACAACACCACGAAAACAGAAGACAACGAAGAGGGGTAGTGGCCGATTGTTTTGTTTTGGTTCTTTCGGGATGTCCGCAAAGCACACACAAAAAAACAAACCAGCCGTGTTGTGCGTTTGTGTTGCTAGCGAGCTCTTGCAGAATACGGGAGAGCGACGACTGGGTGGGGTGGGGTGGGGGGGTGGATCGTGCCTCAGAGGCCGGGCACAGCAGTACTTGGTTCATTTCACGTTGCGAGGCGGGCCACACGAGGTCACCACAGAGCACGCAGCCGAGGAGGTAGAGGGGGCAGCGCGCTGTTCGTAAGGTGTGCAACAGCGCAGAGCAATATATTTCCGGCACACCGTCGTCATGACTCTGGGACGTGCGAGGGCGGAAATGGGCACAAGGGCGCGCGTGCGCGCTGATTCGCCTGCCGACATTGGGTTTTCGGTCGGGTTGCGAAGAAGACAAGCACTGCTTTCGATCGCGTTGCGCACCCGCTTGATGTCCCTCACAACAAATACACACGTATTGTTGCCGTACCAACGTCGTGTAGTGCTCCTCTTGAAATATACCATGGTAGGTGATGAGAGCGTTCGCCTTTTGGTGGACGGACCGACCGACTGACCTGCTTGATGAGCGTCAGAAGGTCTCCTCCGGTGCAAAACTCGAGGATGAGCCAGACGTTGTTCCTCGTCTCATACCAGTCGTAGAACTTGAGGACGTTAGGGCTGCTAAGGCGATGGATCACCTGCTCGTTCATTTCGTGTTTGCAACGGGTGAGGTGGGGCGGGGTGGGGCGGGGCGACGCGACGCGACGCGGAATGTTGAATGAGCAGCACTCAAGACAAGAGCAATCGTTGCCAGATGCGTTGTACTGTTGCTGCTGCTGCTGCTGCTGCTACTGCCTGTTGCTAAACATGCTCTCTACACCCACTTCGCTCTCTACGGATTTCATTGCCAGCAATATCTTGCACTATATACTATGTAGGTCTGCTCTTCATCTACTGTATTCTCTTAAGTGTCAACAAAACGATGGTACTTCGAAGTAATTGTTAGATAGGGTACAATACGCAACAATACAGAGAGACCACCCATTCTCAGAGGGACGGTGTCGATTTCTTCTACAGTGAGGATTGAGGATAAAGTGGTGGATACCGGAGTTAAAGCAAGGTCTGTTATGTCTTCATTTCAAGCTGGATATGGATGCCTGTAGGTTGACGGGACGGACACATGCACCCACGCCTGCTGATACGGCTGCAACAGCAGAACGGTTGCTGCTGGTATTGATACTACACTGCTAATTCAATGCCACAATAACAAACACCAAACACGTGGGCACATGGGGCATCTTACACATAGGCCCGTCTATTGCTTGTGGATCCTTGCTTGCGTTCGTGGAGTCCCAGCATGTGTGCATGTATCTCCCGCTACACCATACAATCAATACTGGAGGCGCACAAGGGTGTATCGGCGTATGTATGCATATCTCACCTGGACCTCCTTCACTATGCTCTCCATCCTGCTTTTCTCGACCCTTTTGATCGCCACGTACTCGATATCCATCTTCTCGCGCCCTTTGAACACCTGCGAGTGCTGCCCCGACCCCACCTCCTCGTAGATGTGGTACTTGTCCATTCTCTACTGCTGTAGTTGCACGCGTCTCGTCGCTTCGATCTCCTCCCTTTCCACCGCTCGATTGATATATTTCCGAAAATCCCGGTTCCCCCGCCGCCGGTGCTAACACCAACGAATAGAGCAGGCAGCGACCGCGATACTGCTGGGTATGCCTGAAGTTGCAGCAGCAGCAAGATGTCCGTCTTGCGCTTCGTACAGGCCTCCCTGCTTTGTGATACAGCAGTATCGGCGCGTGGTCGGTCACACGCAAGCTCTCTCTGTGTGCGTGAAGAGGACCAGCAAGCTAAGCTTTGCCTGGGGGATCCGCCGCGCCCATGGTGGGCCGCTCACGCTCACGGGCTCGTGACGACCTTCGGCCCCTCCGATCGAGCACACAGAGGCACAAGGAATGATAGGAATGATTGCGTCCTCTTGAAACGTACGCTGTTGCTGCTCGATAGTTGCTGCCGCAGTCGAAACGCACGCACGGCGGCTGCTTGTGTGAGCGGTAGTTTGGAAGTCGGTCGTGTACTGCTTTGGTGTATCTTGGCGCGCCTTCCACAGATTTAAGAACCGATCCTCCCCCTCAAACCCACCACCTGGAAGGACAGGGCACCCAGCACCCCCTGAAGTCGATGCCTAGCGCCACTAGAAGGTCGCCGCTCCACGCCCTACCCAACAGCGAAACGAGGAAGGTCGGGGGCAAGGCCGCAGCAGCTCTAAATGATTTTTAAAATGATCGGGTGTTCCAGAGATTCCGTAGAAGCGGCGTTTTTCACGGGGATAGGGGATAGGACTTCGAAGGAGGATTTTTCTGTTGTTTCTGTCCACATTTGTCTTTCTCTCCCGTATGCGTTCGCAGGGAAGCCTTCCACCCTTCACACAACATGAGGCATAATTATCTTCTCCCCTCCCTCTCCTCTTTCGCAAATGGTGATGTTTCGCAGGGAGGGAGGGATGCGGCATTATTCAATTCACCGAGCCCTTTGCGAAAACGAAACGCATCCGCAATGAGAGTCCGAAGATGATTTATGTACCAGAGCGAGTGCTGCCCAGGTTTTGTCCGACTGTGCTCTTACGTCACCAGAGTACGGCCTTTCGATGATGCAAAATTTAGTCCATGGGTGTTCAATTCTCCCGCGGCCAAACTGTATGTATGATGGATTGTGCACAAGGATGGGTACGTATGGAAGTCGTTTTGCAAATGGAGCAAAGTGGTTTGCATCCGACTCACCATGCCGTCGCTGCTCGCACATGGTAACGGGAGAATTTCTGGCAAAAAGTCGTCGTATCATGGTGCACCGATTGCAAGTAAAGCCCCAAAAGCTGCACCAGCCCGCATCTGTTCCCCGTTCTCGCTGCACAGCAGTTGTTAGCCCATGAAACGACAGCTGAATTTTCCCTAACGGAATTGCCGTTCCCATGCACTACAAACACATCAGCGGATATTTTGCAAAGACCATACTCGAGCCGCGCATAGGGAACTTATGCCAAGTCGGCCACGCGTTGCTACGCTGTCTGAGATATCCATCAACCGCAGGGCAATCCGGTGCTCAAGGGGCTCCCGCTTGCGAAGTAGTCGTGACAGTCGGCCACCAAAAACAGAAGCAAGCCCTTAGCGCGCGCCCCCCATGAGCTGTCCGCCCGCAAGCCACGCCCGCCCGAGACAAGCAACAGCTCGACTGCCATCCCTCGTTTCCCACACCCCTCATCACGCCTGCGTTCGTCCTGCAGCAAAGACTCTTCCTTCCCCACACAAAACCTCTGGGCGGGAAAAAAATACGGTACACAGCAACTTGCGCCATACGGTAATTAGTGATGTTACCGCGGCCGAAACCGAAAAAATAAAGCAAACAAAACAATCGCGTCCATCGGCATACACGTCGCCGTGTCATGCCCACTACTCCTTGACCAGTTGTTGTTGTTGCTGCTGCTGCTGCTGCTGCCAAGACCTTCCCCAAAGGTGAGCCGCAAGAGACTCTGAGGAAAGATAACCGCCCACGCGCTCGCGGACCCCACTTTCGGTCCCGTCCCCGATCAAGAGGCCCGCCTTGGCGGCAGCGGCGTTGTTGGGGACCGGATACAGATACGACGGGGGCAGGATCATCGCAGGCGGAGTAGCGGCGGCGGCGGCGGCGGCGATGGCTGTGACCGTGGTGTTGTCGTCGGCACGCCTTCGGTTTGGACTGCAACGTGACGATGCACCGAAGGTAGCACTACCACCACCATCACCACCCCGACCACTATCACCACCACCACCACCACCAAAAACATCAGTGTCGAGCGCAGCCGTGCCAGTGCTGTGGAAAATCTCCTCTTGTGCTGTGCTGATCGTGCCACTGCCGTCGGTTGTAGTGGGAGCAGCACCGTCTTCCCCCGTGGCGGAGCTGACCATCCACGCCATGACAGCTCTCGTGAACACCCCAGGACCTGTCTTGACGATGGTTTCTGTAGCGCTGTCCGCCTCCACTGTCGAGCCGATTGGGGCGAGAAACGGATTAATGTTGTTATTGAGGTGGTGGTGGTTGTTGTTGTTGCCTGTATTTCGTTCATCTTTCGCTGTTCTGTTGTTCTAGCGCTGTTCCTGATTGCGAGGGACAGAGGGCCACAATTTGAAATACCGCGAATCCGAGGCAGTCGATACCATGGGACGTTTTGTCACCTGGGTCGGTCACGCGTGTTCTCAGACCTTGGCACTAGATCAATTTGCATGGCAACAGTGCAGGCGGCAGGTCTTGGAGCTGGGATCATTCACGGGAAACCACAAACCGATACAAGCAACAGAAACGAATACAGCTGTGAACTGCCATCGCCCTCCACGTCTTTGCAAGACCCATCCCACGCATGTGCTGCACGGACGAGAAACAAGGCCGTCAACAACGATACCAAAGTAGGCCCAACTTCCGCATCCTGCACCATCACAACTCATCAAGCAAACAACACACGTCCCGGGAGGAAAACAAGTAAAGAATCCCCTCACCTTCCACAGCCTGTCGCAAGCGGGCACGATCATCCCCACCCAGCAGCCCCGTCAACAGCCCCCCCCCTCCCCCCTCCCCTCCCAACGCCCCCATCAGGGCCGACAGCGGATCCCCCACCGTTGTTCCCCTACCACCACCATCGCCGGCGGCGTCCGTAACGCCGGCGGCGGCCCTCACGCCAGAGGATAGCGCCGCCACCACCACCGACGAAGACGAGGGTTTAGCAGGGTGAGAAGGAGGGGTGGAAGAAGGCGGGCTGCAACAGCTGCTCTTTATTCTGTTCACGATGTCGCGCATGATCGGGTGGCCCGGGCGGCAGCTGGATGGCAAGCGTGCGCGCGATTGGTGGCGGGGAGGGGAGCGGATGGGAGGCACAAGAGGACGGAACGGGGAGCTCAGTTGCTATATTATGAAGGGTATGTACCACCGGCAGAGCAAGTCTCTGCATCTATTTAGGCCGTATTGGTGTTTTTCCGAACTTGTTGCTGTGCTCGCTGTTCGCCGAACAGGGGGTGGGCTCTTCAGCTGGCCTGTGAGTCTGTTTAGTTTCTGGCCTTTCTCAGGCTCGAGCTCTCTCGCTCCCGACACAGTATATGGTCCGGGGGCAAGGCCAAGCTCTGGTTGGTGCTTGTCACGCTCTCAAAGACGTATGTGTAGGGTAGTCTCTCCGCTTAAGAATCGCCGCAAAGTGCTAAAATGACCGCGACGCGTACGCACGCGTCGTCCTTGAGCTCCCGTACGCGGTGCCCCCCCCCCCCCCCCCTCCCCCCAAGAAGGCCTTTTTTAACTCCAAAGTGCCCCTGTTAAAAACCCCCGCGTAAAAATCCTAACCCTTGGGAAAGGCCTCCAAAGAACCCAAGGCAAAGAAATCCCCCTCCCCCTAAAAACCCCCCTGGCCAAACCAGGCCTGGCCTAAAAAAAACTTTCAAACCCGGGGGGGGGGGGGG